TTGGTAGTTATCTCACTCATATGATTTTTTTGTTTATATGAATATTTTGATTTCTAAATATATTTTGGCCTTACAATACGAAGCGTTTTGTATCTACCACTTTTTTAATGAACGATGAATGTTGACAGGCGTGTACCTTTTTCGGAACAAGAGGCGTTTTAACGAAGGAAATGATTTTCGAACTATCTAGTTAGTTTTCGGAAAAATAGAAAACGTTTGAAGAAAGTTGTCAATAACAGTTTGTCGTTCATGTGTTTCATTTTGATCAGCTTTCATACTAAATTGCGTAGGATATTTTTCCGATTCAAAATCGAGATTCTCGATATTTCCACAGTTTATTTATAATACCTTCTAAACTGGATTTATCTATCATTTTATATACTTTATAATATATGTTCATGCCCTACTTTTCACTTTATTAACAATTTTTTTTAACATACTTCAAAATGGTAGGATATTCTCAATTCGTTGAAATATTTTTTTATGTATGTTGAGCGATAATTCTTTACCACGTTGCCCGATTTCTAGGATTCTTTTTGTTAGAAAAGGAAACAGTTTTATATACATTAAGTCAAGATCTGAAGATGGGATCCATAAGAAAATCATTAACATCTTTATTTTTAAAGTAGGTTTTTTTTTAAATTTCTTTAAACCTTACTGGTTCGAACGCCGTAAGGAATGAAGAAATGTAAATAATTGTTGTGCCAGCCAAAAAACGAAGAGGAAGTACCGATTAAAATATCGAGTGACAGAAGAGTTCCTATAAGATTGTTGAGATCGGGTTTATGTTTTAAAATGCCTTAAAACCGATATCGATAATGTCTCCCCGTCGCTGGGCAGCCTGTATATAAATATACAGATCTCTATTTACATAATTATAATTCTTAGGTAGGTTTAGATTTGCAGACATAAATCTTGTAATAAATATAACAGCTGCCTAATACATTGATTACATTTTCATTAGCCAATGTAAAAATGTCTTTTATTGTACCTAGGATTTGACTAAACACTACACAAAACTAAAAATAAAATGCCACTTTCATCGTGTAATTAATGCCGCGTTTGAGAATCCACATCGGATGCATTTTTTACATCTCGAGCGTTTTTTATCCACATCGGACACATCTGTCCCATTACATTTACGTATACTGAATCACGTGATCAAAGATTTACTACTTACTACATCTCAGATGCATCCGATGTGGATTCTCAAACGCGGCATAAATAATAAACTACAAACGGTCCTGTAAGGGCAGCGTCATATAGCCTTGAAACACCGGATTTTAGTGCTATTGCCAGGTCAATATTGAATTTGTAGGTGAATCGCTTATTGAACATTAAAAATACGGTATTAATGACATTAATACGGTATTTGTATATATTTTTGGGAATGTAATTACACATAAATATTATTAGTTGATTATTTAAATGTTTATAAGTTATTTTGTGGCGATATTTCGTAGATATAAACTGTTTAAATCATATAATTTAAAAATTAATTAATTTAAAATTCTTTTCTGTTAGGTATGTTTAATATATTTGGCAACACTACAGGGACGAGTCATGCATATTGCGCAAGCTTCTAGACACACTATTTTGCGATGTCAGGCGCAGAGACGCGTTTTTATGCACAGTAGGTTTCAATTTCTGCTTAAATGTTATGTTTATATTGGTCTTCTATATTATTTCTATGATTTATAGTCATTTTTAGAAATGAAGTGAAGTTAGGTACATGTTGTGCGCACGCGCAATAACGCAAATAAATACTTTCTTCCATTCATAACAGCCAGCTCAACATCTTCTGTTATCGACTACTTCAATCATACGGATATGACACCTACTGTTATTTCATACGTTATCTATTCCTGTAGCATAACATAACAGATTCGTGTTAAACTTAACGTAAACGTTCAATCATAGGACCCATGGTGCGTTAGTGCGTTTACGGGTAGTAGGTATTGTGAATGAGTTGTGTTTATGTTTTATTACTGAATTATTTTACTGTTAATAAAAGACGAGTTCCCAAAAAAAATTTGTGTAGGTATTTATAACTGTTTTGAAATTAATAAAATAGAAAATATGCTTTTGTTTTTCGTTTCCTTTACAGGTTTTATCCGAATTAATTTAAAATAAATTATATAATATTAATAATAATACATTTCTTAAGTGTTGAAAAAATTGTATTTTTAATTTAAATACCTAAGTACTTAGCATAAGTAATTATAAACAACAGGTTATTTCTTTAATCTGGTGCGTAACAATGTAATAAAAAAAACCCTTAAGATGGTTGGTAAATAATATAAATGAATTCTTAATATTGAAGTAAACACAATGGGTTCTATAAGGATTATTGGTTGGGGTTCAGCTTTGGGGGATAGGGTCGAAATATTGAAACTAAACTTGGTATATGGGATGTATTATCCCATAAAAATAAAAATCGCTTTAAAAATTCACCCCTCCACACCCCTATCTGATATGGTGAGGGTGGCATTCCCAAAAAATTAAGTTAGAACTTTTTAAATAAAACAGTTGAAGTCTACGATTTTTTATACATAAAAACACAAAATTACAATTCTTTTGAAAAAAATTTTCCAAATTTTTTTTGATCTTAGAAAAAATTTCGACTTTAATCTTCATAGTTCGGATGTGGTGGCTGGCATTTAAAAATAGTTACAAATACATAAAAATCTTATTTTTGGCATATTTACAATAGAAATGATTTGCAACATTTTTGTATAAATATCTTACCACCACCATCTCCTAGAGGGAGATGGAGGGAGTGGCATCCCCAAAAAATCAAGTTAGAACTTAAAAAAAAACAGTTAAAATCTACAATTTTTTATACATATAAACCAAAATTTCAATTTTTATATCAAATTTTTTTAATTTCTTTATTATATTTAATATTATTTCTACTTTTTCTAACAATAATCAATTGAAGATATCTACTTTGGTTGAGCCAAAATATTTAGTAGGGGAAGTTTTTAATATTATACAAACATACTGTGTGTCCAAAAAAAATATTTAAATTTGGCTAAACATTAACCTTTATTTCTAAAAACAGGAGAACAATGTTACTTGAAAAATGTATCTAGAATTAATATTATCCACCATCAAATCCTGGACCTGGACATAATTTTTTTTTTAGCAATACGGGAGAAGCGGAAGTGACATTTTTACAAATGAAATTAATTTCAACAAATTTATTTGAGATCATGTACAAGATTATTCACTATTAAAGACACCTTTTATAACCACTATTGCATATTCAAAAAAAGCTTTAAATAAAAGTTTGTGAATATGACTGACTTTTTTTAAATATACCTACCATAAAAACACGTATTCAGATTTCACGGAATACAACACAAATAAACTTTTTTAAATGGGATACCCTCTATGTTATTAAATTTCTGGGATATTTTTTTTCTAATTTCACAAATGTATATTATTGATAACCCTATCTTATACCGTCTGTTCTCGAGTAATTTAACGTTGATAATGTAAACATGAAAAAGTTAACATTATTAAAGTAAAAGCTATGAAAATCACAACTATTATGTTTGATAATAAAATAATCCAAATAGGTAGTTTACAGTGAGAAAGAAAAAGTGTAAATATTTATAAGATATTCGACATAGATTATCTATGATATTCGACGTTTAATTAATCAGGAAAGAATAAAGATCATTTCGAAAATTGAATAAAATATATACATATATCTATGCTATCCTTATTAAAAAAATATTCATGTTAAATCCTGTGAAATATGCACACCACTGATATGGTCATTTGATGACATTTTTACAAAATTTGGTCAATGTAAACATTATACAATAATAATTATAGCATAAAGGGAGGGTAATTTATAATGAATAACCCTGTTAGGTACCATAAATTTGTAGTAAAAAAATTTTAATTCGCACTTTTTTACGTAGATTAAATAAAAATGTAATTTTGTGCGTTTTCTTGGTGCAGACATTTTGCGACACACTGTATATTCAAATCCAAAATGATGTATTTTCTTTTAACACATACCTAATACAAATTTATTAGCAAAATTTAAATACTTGTTATATTCGCCAGGTCGGGCCCCGGGACAACTCTCTACATCGGGCCCTGTGACAAAAACTTTTCGTCGTTTTCTAAAAAAAAAAAAAATAAAATAAATTTTCTCCCTACCTCAATTATTTCTTCTAAAAATAAAAAGGTCCTCTATCGAAAAAAAATCCTCTTAACTAAAACTTTTCCTCCAACTTTCAATCACATCACTTCCCCTTTCTCTTGTTATATCGAATTTCTCGTGCGGAAACAGAAAACCCTATTGTCGGGCACCCCTTATAGTGCTACCGGGCCCCCATTTGAGCCCGGGCCCCGGGAATTAGTCCCGGCTACCCCCCCCCTCTAGTGGGGCCTGATTTTCGGTATATTTTTCCTTTAGACACACACGTTTTTAGTTTCATTGTCAAAAGATTTAAATAAAATTACCTGACCTTATAATATTCTATTATAATTTGATTATTAACGTAAAATTAATGTTTTGAAATTAATTTAAGTTTTACCAATTTAGAAAATAAAATTAAATGATAAAAAAAAGTGTCCACTCGGGGGTTTGAACTCAGAACCCTTCGATTCTTGTCTTTCAATTAATTGGAATCATTGGTAAAATGGGCCACTGACGGTAGGCAATATAGAATACACGTGTAATGGTGGTGGCCTAATAGTAGGAGTGTTATAATTAAAAATTATGGTTACGAGTATTAAATTGGATCACACCCTAACAAATATAGGTAAAACCAAGACGAATTGAGAGCTTCATCCTTGAACGGATAATTTCTATGATTGAACCTGTAAAATTTTCTATTACAATGTTTATAAATTTTGATTCCTGCGATCCGTGTACGTGTTCAATTATGAAATTGTATCTCATTGCGCAAAACAAGTAGAATATACCTTGGTTTTGAATAGTTTTATTTTTAAGCTGTTTAACTTTTTGATTTTAGGAATCCTCACTGCCGTTGAAATTAAAATGATCCCAGCCAAACAATACATACAATTGGTTTATGAACCGGTTTTTGGAATAGATAATATTGTTCAAAAATTTTCAGAAGCTAGTAATAATAAACAAAATGAATTTGTTGAAGTTTTGATTTATAGTGAGAACGAGGCTGTATTAATGACCGGAGTACAAACTGACAGTCTCGAATCAGATAAAGTAAGTATTTTAAAAATAAAAAGATTTGTATATTTACCTTTCGATTTGCAAGTCTAGTCTCTAAAACTGAGCCACCCACCCTCTATTTTTAAAATAAAAGTTCATAATAAATGATTCAACCGGGCCTTGGTATTAAATCTAGTTTTACTGTCATGTTATTGTCATTTTCTAACTAGTTTTACGTTCAAAAATCAAAAATCAAAAAATTGAATCCTAAATATAGTTTCCTATTTTAAGAGACACAAATCTGTTTGCAAGGCTTTTGGAAAGAGGTACAATCAAATGTCTGCAGAGGCATTAAATATTTCGAAGAAAATTATAGACTTAGTAAACCAACAAATACAGATTATGTGAAAATATTATCTAAAAAAGTAAGCCAAAGTAAAACAAAAGTCAATTCTTTAATATTAAGTAAGAATACAGAATTGTATAAATTCATTTTAGTTGCAAATTGCCATGTATATGAAGTTTCTGACATTTGGTTGATAGGAAATATACTGATGATGCAATTATAATAAATGCGCGGGGTAAAGCCTAAATGGAATCAAGCGGAATAGTTTTGTAACCAATTTAAATGCCTGTTAAAGTAAAAAAAAAATATGAATATTATTATTTATTTAAAATACACACCGACAACTACAAAATTTTTAAAATATACTATCAGTTAATTTTAATCGACGCTACTCTTTTTATTTTGTTGCCCACTTAATGCATTGTCCAGATTTATTAAAAAAATAACAGACTCCTAATTATTTTTCTATTTCACTTTTCCTACAATACAGGCAGAGATATGACTAATAGGAAAATATAAGTAGACATTTGGCAACAAAATTTAAATTTTTTGAATTTATTGGTACACGTCACGGGACATAGGGAAAATACAATTTTCAACTTTAACAATTATTTATTCGGCCTCCAATGATATCTGAACAGCAAAATTTTGCTAAAGTACTTCATTAGTGTCAAAGTTTAAAATTGAGTAATACAAAAATTTGACTGTTGTAGTCCGTTGTCCATGGTGGCAATGAAGAAGGGTTTATAAAAAATGCAGACCTGATATTAAAAAGTCAAACAAAAAGGGGCGATTACCATAATAATATGAACACAGAAAATTTTGAAAAATGGTTTAAGACGAAATTTGTACCTTCTTTGAATATCCTTCTTTGATTTGAATGCCAGTTATCATTCGCGGTACGTGTAACCAAATCCATGTTATAGTTGGACAAAAGATAAAATGGTAAAATGGTGACAGGAAAAGTACAGTGGCAGTTTAAAACGACCTCCTTAGCGATCAGGAGCCGTTACATAAATAACGGAATTTATCCCAATGTAAAGGACTGGTGTATTTTTTAAATTACGACAAGCATTAGCTTTTACATGATAATATTAATAGGATATTCTGAAGATGCTCCAAAAAAAATTACTATACCTATTTTTTATTTCTCAATATAATTTTAAAAAGGAGTCACTACCGGGCGTATTGATTATACGATGCTCTTTGACATTAGTATACCATGAAAATAGTTTTAAAAAATATTATAATCTTACTCTGTTGGAAATATATAGTAGGTAGTTCAATTCATTATCTTTTTCTACCTTGCTAAGATGAACCGATATAGACGAGCTGGTCGCTTACAACATGTTTATTATTTGATTGAATGTTGGTTAGTTGGTTTTTTTTTTAATTTTGAGTAGATTATTTTATTTGTTGAATTGTTTGGAAAAAAATTACTAACCAATAACTTTTTGTACTTGGATCAAAGATATTAGAAAATGAATAATTGGAAATAATTGTAAACTTCATACCAATCTGATACTTTCTTGTCAAATCTTGTTAGTTTCCAAGAAAGTGGGTTATTTTGCATAGTACATAGTCATGGATATTTTTATTTTTTCTCGTGTATTGAGTGAAATAGTGTTTCGATTATTTTGTTCAGGTTTAAGACTTTTTAAAATAGCGAACGAACCAGAATTATTACTAATTGTAAGTGCATTGCCCAAAAGTATTTTTATACAACTAATCTTCGTTCTTCCTATATATACTTTCAAAAGCAAATTTTTAATATTTTTTCTTTTTCCAATAATAAACATAATTATGACATAATCAGTTTCATAATGTTCAATTTATGTAACTAGTTACTTAAAGTAGGTGGATTATTTGGACACTTGCTGCGATTACAAAAAATATTACTTTGTAAGTCAAATAAGAAAAACATTTTTATTAAATACTTACTAAGATTAAATGTCGGATAGGCTCATACCAAAAAACTCAATTAACAAACATTTCAATTTCTACGATTAATTATATTAATTAATAAATGAAATAAAAATCATTATCCAATGCGGAAAAAAGAATTGAAATAAAGTATTTTGACTCAATAATCAATAATATACAAATAACATTTTAAGTAAAAAATATATCTTCGTCTATAGGCGGTAAATCAAAGATGTCGATTTGTTGATGTTTTTCAGCTAGTTGACTTTCGGGTAACAACCCGTTTCGTACACCATTTTTTTAAGCAGAGGCCTACCTTTTTTCTGCATTTGCGGTATTCCTTTATAGTTCACTTATTGTTTAATACAACTTATGTACCTGGATCATTTTACCTATTTATCTTTTTTCAATAAAATTCTTATATGGCTAACTAAATTCGAGCCACACTCGGCAGCGACTGCGGGATAGTTCAAACGCCGTTTTTAAGTTTTTTTATTATTGGCGGTATACCGTTACCGCTTTAAAGCCGAGGATACAAATTTTTTTCAGGGCTTGGCGGAATATCAGATTTGGTTTGTTTTTTAGATATTCATTTTTAATATATGTACAGTACGACAAGATTGCATTGGCAAGTCAGAATTATATAATAATGGGAGGAGTTCAGTTAACACAAGTGAACACAAATAGAAAAACAAATAGCATCGAAATTTAGCAACTAACTGAGATCAACTCTTCCCATTTTTAGATTTACCAGTGTGCATCTAATTCGGACTTGTCATCTCATTCTTGTCGTACTGTAAATTTTATACAACGCCATCACTATTCGAGATATGACGTCATTACCAATTTTCATGTGATATACCTATGTTGCATAACAATATTTTCGAGAAAAATTTTTATTGCTAACATCATAAAATGATATAAATATATGAAGAAATACACATCTAAAATCAAAATCAATCTGTTCAAGAAATTTTTCACGTTTTTTAACTATTTAAGATATGATCGTCACTACTTTTTTATAGTACCAAATTTTCGCGATGTTATATAAGAATATTTACGAGAAAAAAAAATAATTTAGAATGCTAAATAACGTTTTGTAAGATTTTTCCTGAAAATATACCACGATATTTGACGTCCATACCCGAAAAAATGTGCCATTTTAATTGGTACTATCAAATAATATTGTTGCCATTTCAAAAAACTAGTAATTACTTCATAAAATATATATGTATATCGAAAAATATGTATTTAAAAAACCAAATCGACCTATTCGGTCTTTTATGGTTATTTGTCCAATAAAGCACGATTTCTGGTGTTTCACCAATTCTGCCCAACACTGTATATTATATTCAGATTTCGATTTTCTTAGATTGTAGGTGTTTAAAGTAAAACTACAGGTTTTTGTTGTTAAAAGGTGTTGGTAAATGGTGAATTTGTAAAGCTTTTGGCTCCTGTATGAGGCTTCCTTGGTATTGTTATTTTTTCATTTTTTTTATTATTTTTTTAATTTAGTAAACATATAATAAGTATGCTATTATAAAAAAATAACACAAAAATGAATTATTTATTTAAAAAATAATACCAATTTATAGAAAATAATACAGAATAAAAAAATATATAAAAATACTAATGAAGGCTCATACAGGAGCGTTTCTCTTTTCCAAAATTTTATTTAGTTTTCTCTCTAAAACATAAAAAAATGAAAATTGTCAAAATATTCGAAAGTGTGCTATTTTTATTTTAAACTAAATGAAATTTTGGAAAAGTGGCTGTAGAGGAACACCACAGATTTAACCTACATGATCTTTTTTTTTTCACTTAAAGTGGGTTACTTACAAAGGTACGTTTGCTATAGAAAATAAAGATTCAAAATTCTTATCCTCTCCGTATATCCGCCCCTGGATAGATAAATACAAAAATTATAACTGCCCAAGTACCTAGCGCTGTGTCATAAAAGAAACGCATAAAATTCATAAAACCTCAATAGGTAATTACATTTTGGTAAAAACGCAAAAACACATCAATCTATGAAATTTTTCTTGTTTTATTTCACGGAACTGTGATGTAATTATTATTTTTGTTAATGAAATACGCGATATTTTATATTAAAAAAAGTTATAATTTGAAAATTTGGAAACAAATCTCAATAATCCCCCTACGAATTATCAAAATCATCTCCGGAACCCAAAGGTAAAAAGAAATACTTGTAGATTTGAAAAAAAAAAACTTTTCATCGCCGGTAGTCGAACCCAGACTTTCACGTTTGCCAAACTTCCATCCTTACCGTTAAACGACATTGACTTTCGAGATTCCTAAGAAATTTGAAGTATTAGTTCTAGCCAAACGATATGAGAAATTCAGAAATTCTGTATTGGAGGTATTTGTAGATTTGAGAAAGAACCTAAATCTGAACTGTTTTTAGGAAAATGACGTCACAGCTCCGTAAAATAAAACGATAAAATCTAAAAATCATTTCAAAACACTTTTTACCGAATTTTAATTACAGAATGTGCTATGAATTTTTTTCTTTTAAAACATCCAGTATGATTCTACTCTCTTATAAAATGTTCATAACTAATCTGCAAATATTTAAATACACAAGCTATTTTAGCTATCTATATTACCTAAATAAGGAACAAAAAAAAATATTTCGAGAACAACCTTCCTTTTTTTTTCCGAAATACATTCAACTGCCCGACAAATTAATCTCCCATTCATCACACAAATCATTTTCTAACGATTTAGTATAGGGTGTCCAAATTTGACATTCCGATTTAAATTGACCGTCATTTTTGGTTATCTTCATTGACAGTATTTCTATGGTGATATATGTCAAGTAAAAATTTTACGGTTACTTGTTTTTTGGTCAAACTCCGTTTCTATTGTGAAAACTTATTACAAAAATGGGGAATGTTCTGCTGAAACTGCAAGAAGATGCCGTATGCATTTCGGAAGAAATTTAGCACCATCTGTTAAAGTTATTGAGATTTTGATGAAGATATTTCAACAGCAGAATATGGAGTTAGGAAAATCCAAAAGAAATATTGGGAAAACGACTGTATCCAGTAAATGTGACTGTGTGTTGTGGTTTTTGGTCTGGTGACCTTATATGTACTTATTTTTTCCAGAATCAAGCTGATGATGAGATAACTGTGAACGGAGCGCGATACAGGGCAATGATTAGAGATTATTTGTGGAACGAATTAGAAGATATTGATGTGCAGAACATGTGGTTCCAGCAAGACGGTGCCACTTTCCACACATCGGATAAAACACAAAATCTTTTAAAGGATAGATTTGGTAATCGAATAATTTCTCGAAGAGCTGAAGTTAATTGTCCGCCTAGGTCGTACGACCTTACACCATTGGATTATTTCTTGTGGGACTTTTTGAAGCGAGAAGTTTATGCTAATAACCCTCAAACACCTGAACAGCTTCGAGTAAACATTGTTTAAAAAATTGAAGAAATTGAACAGAAAATTTTGGATAAAGAATATTAGCATGCTAAAAAAGCAAAATATAAACTTTAAAATAATACAATAACATTATAATATTGCAAGGGTTTTTGTGATTTATTATTAAATTAAATCCGAAGATCAAATTTGGACACCCTATATAAAAGGTCTGTGGACGTGGATTTAGTTTTATAAATACAGCGTGTAAAAGCCAAGCGAATAACGAATAATCAATGTTGCCACTATTTAATTCCCTGTGTATTTGAAACCCACGTTATAGTTCTAAATAATGATAATACTTCTTCATCGTGGGTATTCATTCTTCAGAGAGAAGAAATTGCACATAAGTGCCGACCATCTGATTTTTTACCTGTAGATGCAGCTCATTTGAAATGTACAAAGATACAAACTGAAAATAATTTAAAAACTCGGAAATAAATCTCAACAATCCCCCTACAAATTATTGGGTGCATCCCCGGACCCCAAAGATGAAAACAATTACTTGAAAAAAAAAAAACTGTCGCCTGTGGGGGTCCGAACTCAGACTTCCACGTTTGCCGGACGTGTATCCTTATCATTCTTATCGTTGACTATCAACGACAGTGACTGTCGAGATTCCTAAACGGAAATTTGAAGTGCTAGTTCTAGCCAATTTTCCTAAAATGATAAAATGATAAAATGTAAAAAAATATAATTTTTTTTATAAAAATTGTTTAAATAAAAGTTGTTTGTAATATATTTCTCTATAATTTTTATCCTATACATAATTTTTCTAAAATGGACCGTATTCGAGATATTAGAGAAAATGTGTAAATTTCGAATTTTGAAGAAAACTCAAAAACGGATAAAGGAAAAAACATTAAATTTTAAACTTAAGGTTTATTTTGGCATGACGTGAAATGATTAGATTTTGGACAAAGTCGGAACATTTGTGGGGGTACTTTATGGGAGACCGTTTTTATATTTTATGGAGTATATCTGTTATTTACGTTTGGAGGAGAAAATTGTTTAAGTAAAAGTTACTTCTAATATTATTATCTATAATTTTTTATGTTAAAATTTCCTGAAATGGTCCGTATTCGAGAAATTTGACCAAATGTGCAAAATTCTGATTTTTAAGAAAATTGTTAAACTAAAAGCTAAAGCTAAAATGGACTGTAATTGAAAAATTGGAGGAAATTTTTCAGTATTTTCGTTTTCAATGAATATCTATAGAAAAATGTTTCGAGTTAGATATATGTGGAAAATGTATATATTTAGTTTAGCCTCTAAACATTTATAGAGATGCTGCAATAGGTTGTACAAAATAAACGGAAAAAAACCTATAATAACTAGATAGGAAAGTCATGTGTTGGACACATTAGATTTTTTTTTTGTATTTATTTCACCCATTTTACCGACTTTTTTAAGATTTTCGAAATCCCCATGGAGTTAATTTTAAGTGCGATATCATGAAGGCAAAGTGTAAGACAGTATTTGTAGATTGTGATTACCTATTACTGATAAAATGAAATTACATTTTGCTTATAATGAAAAACAATTTCAGTTGAATTCAATTGGTAGGTGGTACAAACCATGGTTCTTTAAATATGTTCAGGAAAAATTGAAAAGTAATACAATAACCACTGAATACATACCACTAAGAGCTTATTACCATCGGCACACTCGATCTTTATTTTGGGAATTACAGGTGAGCACTTCTTAATTATTTTTTTTTATACCAAACTACAAAATATCTACAGTCAAATATTTGATCATTCAAATTTTTTGTTTAAACTTAATAACTCTTTTTCGTGTTCCAACTTTGATGTCTACAAAAAGCAAATCAGTATATCTGTTTTTTACGTTTAATGACAAACATAATACACAGAATATTATTATGCGAGTATTTACACGCATATTTACCCGTGTAAGTGGTCGTAGGTAAATTATAGTACGTAATGCGTGTTGTGAAGTAATTATATAGGCACTTATGGAATTACGTACTAACTATACTCAATGAACTTTTCCTTTCGTGCGTAATATACTTTTTATAACACTTATTACTTAATATACAGGGTGGACAGAAAAAACGAAATATAGTCAGTATCAGGAACTGCGTCCACATTTTACACAAACACATGGACACTTTAATTTTTGATTAGGAGAGGTCATCTTTCTATCATATCCTCAACTCTAATGCGACATTCACCTTCCCTTCGTCACTCTAATCAATATAATTGACTATTCATTGAATATTAGGCATTTCAAACAAAATGGATGCTTGTGGGTATTGATATGGCAACCCTGGGTTAATGATATAAATAGTAATATAGAATAAACATTTATGTTTTTAAAAATAAACATACCTAACAGACAATGGATTGCCAGGATATTGCTGGCCTTCTGCTGTAATTGAAGGGAAAATAAATGTGACAAAAATGAATGTGACGAAAATGAATGTACGATTAAAAGATAAAAGCTACTTTTGGCCTTCCGATAGTAGCCCATCATTATGTTGGTTGATGATGGTCTTATAAAGGGTAAGTAACTGGTTAGAAGCATGGTAAAAGTTAAAAGGCTTTTAACTGTCGCAAACTCAACCCACAATAGTTCAGGAGGGCTCAGTCCCCCGTTCATAGATGCAGACACCGATGATCGCTTGCTACATACTCAACAACTGGACATGTACTATGCGGCCAGTTTCGGATTGCTGGATTGTAATTTTCTTATTTTTACATGTTGTTAACTTGGAACGTTTTATGAATATAATTTTTATAAAAGACTTTTTTGGCTATTTATTATTATATAGCTGAATTACTCGTAACTAAAATGTCTAGAATATTCTATATTTAAATACCTTATATTTTAGTATAGAATGTATAGTTTAAACGGTATTACTGGTCAAAGAGGCACTATCGAATCGGTCTGGTCATGAGCCTGGAGCATGGCTTTTATTCAGCAATCAGTGTTATTATGGCAAAAAGCCTGCAACATCGCGTTAACTTCCCATCAATAGACCGTTAATTGCAAATATATTTATTTCTAGACATTAAAGGGAGATGGAGGCCTAATAACTGATTTGATGGCTAAGAACTTTGGCCCGACTGTCAGCCGACCTTTTAATTATAAAAGTTAAATGGCCATTATTATCTTTACAATTGGAGGGTAACAGTTACTGTGCCTTTTATTCCCCTACACCAAAAGTTTGTTGAGTAAGCTTATGCGTTGAAGTAAAAATGTAGGTAATGTTTTGTTACTTAAAGGCAATATGGCAGAATGCAAAGCCGACAGGCCCACAGGCTTGCCATAACAACCAACTAGCCTAAAGACCATTTGTAACTACTGATAGGTCTTTAGCTACTGTTGTTGATATACTATTAAGGGATTAGGGCAGCACCGTCACCAGCCAAAGGGTCCTGGAGTCCTGGAGGAACATCCATTCACCAGTGGCAAATCAAAATAATAAAAAAATTAAATTAAAAGGAATAAAAATTATCCCTTAATAACATAGTCGAGCGGTTCTTGGCAACTAGTTTTAGACTCTTTTAGTCCTAAGGGAATAGAAACGCCGAGGCTTCTCAAATGCTCGGAGTGTTTTACTGGTTTGGAAAGGGAGGAGAGATTAATAATAAGTATTAAAACATTAACAAATGTATATTAACAATAAGTATAAAATTTGAATAATAGTCTTAAGAAGAAATGAATATAATTCCATTTAGGGAATAAAGCACTATAACTACATAATATTATAAAAATATACATAAGATAAATATGATAATCCGGGACGAAAATGTAAGATTGGCATTTATATGTAAATCAATCATTATTATTAAACAAAACACTTTAAAATTAAGTTAAAAATATTTACCCATAATTAACAAATGGTACACAAAACTTTACTCTACACATCACATTGTTTTGCGATTTAAAAAGTCCCAAAAAAAAAACGAGAGCTTTCGTCCCTTGGGCAAAATTTTGCATTATATGATTCATAATTTGGTACTTTCCCTATTTAAATTCTTTTGGTTAAAGTGATAAAGAGAAGTAAAATGACTTATGACAGTTGAGGAAAACAAGATCTCTTACATCAACAACTGACGTGTCCGAGTATTTGTCTAAAATATTGACTCTGTTCGTACAATTGACCTTTCGCATTACTCATGCGCGAAAAAAAGACGGGATTTTTGAATCCAAAAACTTTCTGCTATATTTTTTGTATCCTCTTCTTATAACTGTTGGGTTGGCTACGATGATTATGTCATCGTTACTAAAAACAACTCTCATCGTTTCTATTTAGTAGGGAGCCAGTAAAACTTTTTTTTAGTATTCATTTGTAGGAAGCTAAATTATAAACGTATTGTTAATTCTTACCCAATCGATCTAGCGGTAAAATGCCCTGTCACAGAGCAATAAGGTACCTACTGTGTGCCGAATTTTAAGAATTTTTTTTTCTACTAGCTTTTGGTGTAAATAACATCTGAAAGTTTCAAGTTTGCGCTTTTATAACAGCATTTTCTACACATGCTTCTTTAAAACGTCATCGTCGAGAGCTCCATCGCTGCTAGCAAATAATTTATTTAATGTTTTACAAGAATGAACGATATATTTGCAATAAAATTTTATCCTTTCATTCATAACGTATCATTTGTTTGGTCCTAATTATTGGAAAAAAGAAAGTAGATAGTACTAACCTGTATGGTGTGCAATAAACTTAATAATGGTTTAAACTTTAACTATTGGATTTGGAATAAGGGTATGCAGTTGAGTGGAATGTAGGTAAAAAACATAAAAACACTTTTTTTTTCAAGAATAATAAAATATATATAAATAAAATACAAACCAGGTAAATAAATCAAGATTTATTTTAAACAAATTAACGAATCTACTTTTGGAGTTAATTTGAACAGTTTAAAAATAATAATTAGAGATTATTTAATCAAAATTCAGATGTTTAAGACTAATAAATTTATAGAAGTGAATAAATAAATATGTTATATTCTAAGGTTTTTACAGTATTTAAAATTGATACATCCAAAACCCTCAAAACACTCTTTTTCAAATACCTTCATTTTCTTTAAATCCTACAAGTGATAGCAAAATATTTCTTGTATGCCTTTCAGACAGGGGATTCTAAAAATAAGGCGCGCTGCTAAAATATCAAGTCTGCTGAAAGCAGTTAAAATAGCTTAGTACTTTATACACATTTTATACGTTTTTGTTTTGTTAAAAGTCATTTTATTTAGAGACTTACTATTAGAAATGTTTCGGGAAATATTGGAACAACTCTGCCCACAATGCGACGGAATCGGAAATACTGGCACACAGCCTGGCAATAACGCACCAGGCAACGCATGTCGGTTCTTTTACGAAATCGCTACGATTAGGTATTCCAAACTGAATGCCTACCAGTGGGCTTCGACGGGTTATGATATTGCAAAATTATGGCAACCCTGTAGACCTGGTGATTTGACAAGGTCAATGAAATAGATAGTTACATAGATTGATTATCCATATTTTTCAAAATAAACATAAGCGTATGCCTTGAAGTAAAAATGTAAGCAATTATTTTATTTTAAATATCTAAAGGCTAAAAATTGGTTTTAAAACACATTTTTGCTAAAACGATTCAACTTAATAAATATTTGCCAGGCAATATGGCCGCTCGTAAACGACCAGCTTTGAGCAATCTATATAACTATATATGTATCATTAACCTTGTTAATGACAACAGGGTTGCCATATCTAAACTGTCATTACCCACTGGTAGCCATTTGGACAGGTCGTTGGAATGCCTAATGTATGACCGGCACATACTTTGATTACTATACGAGGCAAGAGAGAGGTCCGACACGCCTAACATAGGGCGCGGCCATTTTGAACCCTGTGACACAGTTTACAGCTAAAGAATCAGATCGCTCACTCTGCGTCGGCACTTTTGATCTCAATGTTTCAGTTTGTGCAACTCGGATAATACAATATATGACAACCGCCTATAATAAAACAGCAGTCTTCTGCGTATCCTCAATTTGTATCCCTGGAGTGGATGTTATTTTGGAACTTTCAACTGGACCGAGTGAGCTAACAGATTCTTTAGCAATAAACTGTGACTTCAAAAATAATATTCACTGACACTGACAGCAGCAAGCAAAATATCAGGCGCGTTTTAATCATCCGCTTCTGCTTCCAGAATTGTCGGTTTAGTCGTTTTAACCTGTCAGATTAAAACAAGAAAACCGACAATTCCGAAGCAGAAGCGGATGATTAAAACGCACCTATTAAAAATATTGCGCAAAGATGTAGGCAACACGTAATAAGGGTTCAAAATGGCGGAGTTTTCTATCTCCTTTTAAAAGGCACTCAGAAAGCTGCGCAGTGCGACCATTCTCCGTATAGTAAAACAAAATCAAAGTATGTGTTCACAAATAACAAAAGTGTCACTGGCTTCCTACCATCACTATCAAACTCAAAAACAAAATGTCATTTGCGGATTTATAATTGTAACTTAGGGTAGGAAACATAACAACAATAAATTCTGATGATTTTAAGCGGAAGTAGAATTTGTGCTTGAGTAATAGAGATCAATAATAAAAGGAAAGGTCCATTACCGACATTCACGTCAAACACAATATGTTCCTCAGATTTATTTTTAGGACATAATCCCATTTGGCAACAATCTAGTCTTCAGAATACTATTTGGTTGGTTGGTTCCGCCAAAAGTGTCACTGCTTAAATTAACTCAAACCAAATCAACTAAGAAACTTTACGAAAACAATCATATAATTCAAGATATGTTAGTACCTGTATCACAGTTAAAGAAGAGCCTTCAGATATTTCAAGATTTAGTTAATGTTTACCCTATTTGGATATGCCCTTTTATATTACCTTATAATCCAGGAATGGTGCATCCGAAGAATCAAAATCAATCAGAACTATTCGTAGATATTGGATTATATGGAACACCGAATGTAAAAACATTTAACCCTCGTGAAACTACTAGAAATATTGAAAGGCATGTTATTGATTCTGATGGGTAAGTATAAAATATTATAATACATTAGTTACAACGACGACCGACTAGACTAATTTTGTTTACAAAAATCGTGTCGAGTGCCTCCTGCCAAAAGTGACATTAGATTCTATTCCCACCATGCGGAGGCGTATTATTGTAATTAGAGCAAACTCCTTGATGTAAATATTGTTACACAGGTTTTTGGTATCACAATTTATTCCAATTCAACTTTACAATAACTCAATTCAACTTTAACAACAATTATACAACTGATAACATTAACATGTAACGTCTATCATCAAACTGAACTCTGACGTCAGGTCGTCGACTTGCCTTGACCGTCTAGAACGTTTTCGAACAATCTGGACTTTTCTTTGACAAGGAATGACATTTCGGGAATATTCTATCTTCTTTATTTACTCGTAACTTTACTTATGATGACCACAGCACGCTACAGGGTGCTGCGTAACATTGCTCCCTTTTCTCTTGTTATTCGCCCCGAATAACTTGACTACTAGGACCCAGTTAGAGCTAACGGAAGGAATCTGGACCACGGCATGGCGCTAACTTTCCAATGTGAACTAGCTTGGATTTATTTCCCGCTGACAGCTGAATGCGGTATATCAGGTCGTTGATTTTCCTTAAGGACGGCGTAGGGGCCTTCCCAGTTCCGTTGCGATTTCTGGAATAATACTCCTCGATGCTTGGGAGTGTACAGCCGTACTAGGTCACCTCTCTCAAAATGTGTCCCTGTGGCACGCCTGTCGATTCTAGCTTCTGCTTTATCGCTGTTGGCTTCTAGTTGTTCTCGAGCGAATCCGTAGACATTTGTCCTGCCATTGCATACATCACATTTTTTACACCAATCCGCTACATCCCGTCGGCAATTGACCCAATAAAATCTTTCCCGAACTCGTGCCAGTGTTCTTCCTCCAGAACGGCTACAATGAAGTTCCTCCAACACACTTCTGACATGTGATTTTGGCAGTATTACTTGGCGGACTACATGTACTCCATCAGGGCTTTCCCACTTCCGGTGCAATAGGCCATCGTGAAGATACAGGGAATCACACCAGTACCCTTTAATAGCGCCACTGTATTTGGCTATCTCTTGCCAAGTAAGGGTAACTTTATTTTTAAGCCATTCTCGAACAATTTTCAAATCATTGTCTTTCTTCTGCCCCTTTCTCAGGCTTTCAAGGGTGATTTCTTCTTCATCGCCCTCTAGTTTGATAGTGGTTGCCCGAAGGGTAACTTTATCAACTGGTTCCTCCCGTTCTCCGAGCCCCTTACTATACTGGCATTCTCGTTCTAAAAAGGGTCGCCTGAAGAGAATGTCTGCGTTGCTATGGAGACGGCTTCTACGATGCTCTACTTCCTGATTATTGCTAGAAAGCCTGCTGCGACTATTTCTTATCGGACTTCGTGACGGGCTTCGGAAGATTGATCTATGTGACTTTCTGACCTCATTTCCTGATTTTCTATTCATAAAACGAGCTCTGCTTCTACAGGTTCTTTGAAGGTGCCCGATTCTTCCGCAATTAAAGCATCTTCTGTTCTCATTTTGACTATCGCGTTGCATATTTTGCAGGATATTTGATATTTGCGAGAGGATAGGTTGGGGAATAGCATTACTATTGGCTTCTTCACTTTCCTGGGATTTAATTTGTCTTATTTTTGCGTGAGAAGATCTGGATAGGAGTTTTACCGCTTCATATTCCTGAGCTGCAATCAGTTTCTCCCTTAGCGTCTTGTGATGTCGTAGACGAAGGACTTGCTGCATTTCCACATCTTGTAGTCCATCAATGAATGCTTGTATTCCGAGTTGTTCTTGGAAATCTTTCGGCACCTGTGGATAGGCCAGATGAATCAACCTTCTTATATCAGCCTCAAATTCCTGTAGACTCTCATTATGTTTCTGACTACGAACCTTTAGCTGGCTTTGGAATACCCGTTGTAAATGCTGCTGGTCATATCTTGTCTCCAAAGCTTGAACGAGATATGAATAACTGGGTTCCTCTTGAGGAAGTAACTGTAAAACGGTTGCTGCCTGACCTCGCAGTGACACTATTAATGAAGCCGCCATCTCTTTCTCGGTCCATCCATTGGCTCTAGCTGCAGCTTCAAATTGGAGTCGATATGATTCCCATGTTGTCTGACCGTCAAACGTGGGTGGTTTAAGGGTCTTGCTAGTATAGTTTTGTGAAACTGGGATTCGAATGTGGCTTGGTTCAGTTATGGATGAAGACGAGGTAATAGTGTTTGCAGCTTTAATGCTGTTTACTGAAGCTTGGCTGTAAATTCTTTTATCTAACTCAGCCATTTCAGCTCTAATTTGCCTTTCCAACTCTACTCTAGCCTGTTCTTGTTGTTCTAAATTAGCTTTCAAATTGTCTTGCTGTTTCTCTAAATTAGCTTTTAGATGCTCTTGTTGTTGCTCTAACAGATCTATTCTAATTTTAAGCTGAATTACCTCTTGCTTGAAGGTTTCCTGGATTTGTAGCAAACCGTTTATTATTTCTACCTCTGCTTTCCTACGCCTTTCCTCCTTCTCTTTTTCCCCTTCCTTCCTACGCCTTTCTTTCTGCTCTTCTCGCTGTTTATTTTCCTCCTCTTCTTCCTTCCTACGCCGTTCCTTTTCCTCCTCTTCTTCCTTCCTATGCCCTTTCTTTTCCTCCTCTTCTTCCTTCCTACGCCTTTCCTTTTCCTCCTCTTTTTCCTTCCTATGCCTTTCCTTTTCCTCTTCTCGCCTCACTCTCTCCTCCTCTTTTTCCTTCTTACGCCTTTCCTTTTCCTCTTCTCGCCTTACTCTCTCATCTTCCATCTTCAAAAACCATGCTGGTGGGCCTGAAGTATCCATGCCTGCTTCGTACTCAGTGGATCTAGTATTTACTTCTACTTTGTATCCCACCGCTGTCACCAATGTTACCCAGGTTTTTGGTATCACAATTTATTCCAATTCAACTTTACAATAACTCAATTCAACTTTAATAACAATTATACAACTGATAACATTAACATGTAACGTCTATCATCAAACTGAACTCTGACGTCAGGTCGTCGACTTATATAGCTTACCTTGACCTTCTAGAACGTTCTCGAACAATCTGGACTTTTCTTTGACAAGGAATGATATTTCGGGAATATTCTATCTTCTTTATTTACTCGTACCTTTACTTATGATGACCGCAGCACGCTACAGGGTGCTGCGTAACAATATCAAGTTGGGTGAGACGAAGAATGACTTCCATGGCTCTGGCCGGGGTGGTTTTCATGGAACCTGTTATGAGACATGCGGTTCTTTGATTTTGTTTTAGTTTACGGATAGCTATCAATTTTTGGGTTTTCGGTACCCAGAATACCACACCGTATGTTAGCATAGGTCTTTGATGGCAGTGTAAGTTCATGCAACCACAGATACGCCCCATGGTTCGGCGGTATTGTTCCTAAGCAAGTGTATGCTCTTTTGACTCTGTTTTTTACATTAAAAAATTCGGATTGAAAATGGGATAATGTGGCAGATATCGGTATCCAGACAAGATAACTTTTTTCTCGTCAGAGGGGCACCACTGAACATGCTTAAGAACCATCTATTTTTCGAATAAAATAAATTTTAATAAGGTTATTAACATTTTAAAATAAAAAAAGACTTTTGATAGGTCGTTCGATAGACTTCACGTTACAGGAACGCCATCTGGTGATTATTAAAATGTTACCCCTCATTACAGCACTCAATGAGAAACAAATTCCATTTACAATAATCTATTTAAACTAACCTTCCAAACCGGTTCTGTAAATGTTTAATTTACAAATGAGCACACACAACTGTAACAAATTATAAAAATTGCATGTATTGACGAAGACAAAACATCTCACCGTGCGTTGTTATGGTTTTTAGTATAATAAACCCTTTTTTTGACAGATAAGTCAAACTTCATTTATTCATAGCCGTATCATATGTATTTTAACTGATTCGGAATTTTTTATTAGTATATATTGTTACCCTGCACTTTGTACTACCACGCAGCTGTTATAGGAAACGTACGAATACAAAAGGCAATGTTAACCATCGACCTACAGTCTGCTGCGGTCATCACAAGTAAAAGTACGAGTAAAAAAAGATGCTAGAATAGTCCAGAAATGTCTGGAAATATTATTCCTTGTCAAGAAAAATCTAGACAGTTCGAGAAGGGTCCTGACGTCAGTTTTCAATTTTATGATATACGTTATACGTTATAGCGTTTTCGACTGGTCATATTCAGGATACACTTAGTTTACACTCGTGAAGTGCGAGTTTTCGTTGCTCAGCACTGGTTCAATTTAGTGACGTCATACAAACTGATTTCAACCGAACACGCTATTGATAATTAATGCATTGCATTGTATTTGACAGCTGTCATCTGAGTGATAAGTAGAAGTATAGCAGAGGTCTTTGAATATAAATAGTCAGGAAGGAGGAATCCTAAACGACCTTGGAATCGCGATGGTATCTAATTTTGACAGTGAACTAGACGAATATGGCGAGAAGTGTTTCCGGTCTACCAGTGACGTACTGTCATAAGGGTGCGTAAAAAAGAGAATAATAAATTCTTATTTGCATATTATCTAAATTTACGTATTTCTCTCATTTTAACGAATTGCCATTTTCTTGCGAGAAGTTTGCATTTTTTTTAATTAATCATCATTATGTGAATTAATTTTACTTTAAAATTGCATGTTGGGTGGGATAAATATAGGAAAAAATTTTCGGTATAAATTATAGAGGGATTTTATTTGAAAAATCAAAACAATAATGTATTAATAAAAGAAATTTTGACTTTTTTTATGTCTTTGTTATGACAATATTTTTATTAATTTAAATTTTACAAATTGTATAAATTTTACAAAAACAGTATGTCGTGTTTATTAAGGTTTAAAAATTAAATATGTTTTGTAGATGCGTTAAAAAATAGTACATTTGTTCAACAAGAGTGGATATGATGGCCATATCACACGAAGATGAAATTTGAGCACAACGCCGTAGGCATGTATTTGTATTTGTATTTGTAAATTACATTATGCAAGCCTGAGTATCTAAAAAAACTTCCTAATATCGAAGAGAAGATCTGATCATTTTATTACATATTATTATTAGTAATATTTTTTTGCCGGACTTAAATTTTGCATAAGTTGGTATAACACCTTTGCATAAAGGGATCCTATAAAGTAATAACGATTCTGTGAGTGCAAAGCCCATTACCACAATCTACATATCCATAATATTTATCAACTACAAATTCTGAATGCTGTCTAATCGACATTTCATCAAATACTAAGGAACAAACCAAGTTTTTGTTTGAATTGGCAACTTTTAATTTTAAAAATCCAATGTTTCAGATGTAAAACCTGGCTTGGCATCTACTGAACAGTACCACTTTGACAAAGTTTTTAGATGTGGTAAACTATTGTAAAAACATAATTATAAGCTTTTGGAGAAAAGAAGTGTAATGTAACTGCAAAAGTTTTAACTGAATATTCATATATTTTTTTAACACTCTTTTTTTGAGTTTTTTTAAATAGGCGTTCAACTATTTCCTTATTTTTTCCAAAATGTTCTAACATAACATTTTCATGTTGGTCTAATAATAAATCTTTTTGTTTTAACTCACAAGACATAAGTTGCTTTTTTTGCTGCCATGTTACCTTTTGTAGTTTTATTATTGCATTAGGGTGAGATTACAGAACGTCTGCAACTTTGCAGATCTGCAAATATGGCGGCAACTTTGCAGATCTGCAAATATGGCGGACTTACGTATGCAAGTATCAAGTTTTCGTATTCCAAAAAAGATCTGCAAATTCGCAATATTTATTGTGGTTTATTACGCCCAACAACACTAAACCTAAATCCATTAGTATGTTTAAAAACACGATAATCTCATACCATGAACTGTATTCAATTTAAAGAAACAGAAGACTTCATGGTTGTAGGATGTTCTAACCTTCTTAAGGGTGGATTTGGATTTAGGGGTAATACATATTACGAACTTGCAGATATTTTTTGGATACTTGCATCTGTAAGTCCGCCATATTTGCAGATCTGCAGACGTTCTGTAATCTCACCCTTAGTTTCCAAAATATTTTCCTCCTGCAGTTCAGTAATTTTCCCCTTTAGAATTTTTTTTTGAGGAGTATCCTCATCTGAACTCTTCAGAGTTGAGGAAATACCTGGTACAGGAGACGAATACTGAAATGGCCTAGAAGGTCCTGGAACGGCCAATATATCTATTTCCTGAAGAACCTTTCTTTAAAATTGCCTAAAAGATTTGTTTAAATAGAATATGTATATAAACCCTATAAACCATGAGACTACGCCTATGAGCACAGTTGATCGCATACATACCATGTTTGTTTACAAATTGAAAACATTAAAAATTTAAAAAATCTTTGTTGTGGTTGATAATTGAAAGAAAAAATACTTGCTTATGAAATGTAGTCCCTTCCTTTCTACTTTTAGCTGTGCTGCTGTATCCACAAGAGCAACAACTGACCATATTGTAATGTTTGTCTTTTAACGCGGAAAACTTGAAATTAACACTAATACTGACTAAATACTAAAACACTAAGCACTTTTTAAAAAGGTCTACAAAACATACGTTTGATAAATTTTAAATTAACACATAAAATATCCAAATTATTAACAAATTTTAATCACTAAAATTAGGAACCAATTTTAGAAACCATATTTGTCATATGATGATGAGTCATCCATAGTACAACATGGCTACCACTTCCGTCAGATTAATTAGATTAACGCAGACATGGCATGCTCCTTCCTGACTATTTATATTCAAAGGCAGAGGTAGAAGTATGAAGACTATTGATAAGGAGGCGAATCGGCCCTGGTCAAATTTCAAATTTCCGTCCCCATCACGTTACAGGAACGCCATCTGGTGATTATTAAAATGTTACCCCTCATTACAGCACTCAATGAGAAACAAATTCCATTTACAATAATCTATTTAAACTAACCTTCCAAACCGGTTCTGTAAATGTTTAATTTACAAATGAGCACACACAACTGTAACAAATTATAAAAATTGCATGTATTGACGAAGACAAAACATCTCACCGTGCGACACGCTTTTCAACGTCTTATTTACGTATGGTGGAAAAGCAACCAATACATGTCAGTTGTTATTTATTACATTTTAATTAATTTTTAGATTTCAAATGATGTATGCTGATACTTATATGACACGGGAAGAGTTTAGAATGATGTTCGATCATAGTTTATACGATGAATTGCGAAAAAAAATGAATTGTGAACAAGCTTTTCCTGAAGTTTACGATAAAGTGTCAAAATCAGCAAGATATTGAATGGTATGTACCTAATTAATGGGATATCGTCATCTACAAAATATTATTACTGTTAAAGATAGATATTAAATATCTCTATTATATATTTATAAAAAATGTAACCTAATAATAATTATTCTAAAATAATTAAGCCGTAATTTAAATCTCATTTGTTTACTGTATTTCTAGTTTTTGTAAAAATATTTAATAAATTTTTTAATGAATTTTTTCCGTTTTAATATATCTATCGTGTGTGGGCAAAGGAGTATAAGTCAAAATTTTGGGTAAATTAGTTTCAGTCATCTATACTTAGTGTAAAACGTGGGATAAGTCAATACTTTTTATTAGGGTCGCTATTTTGAACTTGGACTTCATAATATAAATTAAAAAAATACTATTTTTTGGTGGAAAGTTGACTTATAATACATATAACATAGATTTACTCAGCTTATACATTTTTGACTTCTTTGCCTACCCACGATAGATATAATAGTTCATCGCAGAATCGCAACTTTTTCCTTTATTATCTCTTAAGAGCGTTAGCCAGTACGCTCCTAATTCAGATTTCAAATCTGCTAAATAATACGAGACGCAGTACGTATCAGCCCAATTTGGCAACCTTGCGCGCTTGATGTTTATGGGATAGCAGAGGTGGAAAACTGGTATGCGCCTGGGATAGATCAAAAATCAACCACGTCCGCGTGACGCTGCAGCTGTGTGGTGGGGTGGGTGGTGGGAGTGTAAGGGATAGGTGAATATTGATGTTTGTGGGGGGTGTCATGTCATGGCACCAAACGAGAGCGTTGTTTAATTACATAGAAAAATAAAAAGTTTATTTATATTGGTGACTTGGTTGTATTCAGTTGTGTTTTCATTTCCAATTTGCTTAATTGATTTAGTTGACCACTGTTAGTAAGCTTGTTTTTCCATTATAAATTTGTGCTTTTTGAGCTGTTATCTTGTGCTTTTTCCGCTGTTATTTTGTGCTTTTCCATAAAGATGCGTAATTATAGAAAATGTTGTGTACCGAATTGCCTTGATGTAGACAACAAGATGCATCGCCTGCCCCACCCTACAAATTCACCCGATTTATTTGATATTTAGGCACTTGCTGTTCGTTGTCCAAGATTTAATAATAAAACAAGACTACAAATTTATTCCACCTTTGTAGTATGTCATAAACATTTTGAAGAGAAGTATAAAGTAGTTGGCTCTCGTCGAGGTCTAACACCTGAAGCATTTCCAACGCTATTCCTCCCAGCAGTTCCTGGAAGAGTAGCGGATGGACTTTTCTCAAATAACGTAGAAATTGAATATGTTGATGTGGGATCTTTTAAATGTTAATAATGGGGGGTGGGTTGGCTCAGTGGTTCGAGTCATGACTTTGAGATCGGAAGGTCTCAGGATCGAATCCCACCGTTGGCCGGGATTTTTTTATTTAATTTAATTATTTAAAATTAATTCTGATGCCTTGGTAGGATTCCCCACTCGACCATTCACTGTTGGGTTCTAATTAACAGTGCTGTTCCTAAAGTGGCGCAAGGAAACAGTAACAAGGCCTGTCTGTAGTGGTGTAGGAGTATTAGAGTACTAATACTTCTACACTATGGAGTATTAGACTACTAGTACAATTCATAACCTACATAGAACACTAGACTAATGACCTTAGATGTTGAAGCCGTACACTAAAGAAAAAAAAATGTTAATAATAATACTCTCCGTAATAATTGTATCCCATCAATAAATAAAAATGTATATTAAACTCTATGTCATGACATGTATATAAATTATCAAAAAACAAAAATCAATTATAAATAAACAATTCTTGTTTCCCTCCCGATGAGTTCAACCTTTTGTCTTGCTAGAACTGTCACGAAAGGTTGTCCACATACTTTGATTTTCTTTTACTATATGGAGAATGGTCGCACTGCGCAGCTTTCTGAGTGCCTTAACTCCGCCATTTTGAACCCTTATTACGTGTTGCCTACATCTTGGCGCAATATTTTTAATAGGTGCGTTTTAATCATCCGCTTCTACTTCGAAATTGTCGGTTTTCTTGTTTTAATCTGACAGGTTAAAACGACTAAACCGACAATTCCGGAAGCAGAAGCGGATGATTAAAACGCACCTGATATTTTGCTTGCTGCTGTCAGTGTCAGTGAATATTATTTTTGAAGTCACAGTTTATTGCTAAAGAATCAGTTAGCTCACTCGGACCAGTTGAAAGTTCCAAAATAACATCCACCCCAGGGATACAAATTCAGGATACGCAGGAGACTGCTGTTTTATTATAGGCGGTTGTCATATATTGTATTATCCGAGTTGCACAGTGTATAAACTGAAACATTGAGATCAAAAGTGCCGACGCAGAGTGAGCGATCTGATTCTTTAGCTGTAAACTGTGTCACAGGGTTCAAAATGGCCGCGCCCTATGTTGGGCGTGTCGGACCCAAAGAGGTTAGAAGGGGTAGAGGTAACATAGGAAGCATTTGTCACTGCGCGAATTTTGCCAAAAACCGAAGGAGTAAGGAGATGTTCTGGGCCGGACTTAAATATTTGTATTGTAGTACCTAATTTTGGTAGGTAAAGATGAAAAATTATAACACGTTTTTTTGACTTTATTTGTCAGCACGATTCATTTATGATGAGGGCAATAACACTTTATCAATATATAACTAGCTAAGGGGCGATTCCACCGTTGTGTCAAACGAAGTTTAAATTACTAAGTGAAGATTAAAATGACATTGTTAATGTAAAAATGTCATTTTAAACTCCATTTAGTAATTTAAACTTTATTTTTGTTAATATAAAAATGTCATTTTAATCTTCGTTTAGTATTTTAAACTTCGTTTAACAAAACGGTGAAATCGACCCTAAGTAGAAGTTTATAAAATTATTGTAACAAAATAGCTGTTGAGACAAAAAGTTATCGAAACAGCCAAAGTACTTTTTGCCGAATTACACACAAGATTTTTTCTACGATCACACCAAAATAAAATAAATAATTAAATTTTATTAGAAATGGGTTACCTTTTCGTTCGTTATATTTTAAGTTTATTTGACATAAGCCTATTCTTCGAAGAAAAAAAAAAGTTTTGGTAGTTATATACCGGTAATTATTTATGATTTAATTATTTACGGAAAATACCGTTCAATGATTTAAAATATTAGGAGGTCAATTAATAGCTATTTATGTAACCAGTTACGAAATGCCTTGTTCATTTTGCAGGACCTCGCTCCGCTCGTCCCGCAAATATTTACTCGTTACACTTTTGGTAACGTGTTTACATACAAGATTTTTTCTAATTTTGTCTTAATTATTTATAAAATTGTGTTGAAAAATAATTCACCAGCATTCTTTTGTAGGTACGTCCAATCAAATATTTCAGAAAATTGTTGTATTTGATTGCCCTACGACGTTTTTTTTTTCAATAATAATAAAAATAAGGAACATGTGCAGTGTTGTCGATCTGATTTTTGACATTACCCGCGAGAATGTTGAAAAAAAAACATTTTTACCCATTATCCTTAAAGGAGTACGTCAAAATTTTACCCCCAACATTTCTGGGCAGTTTTCAATAACGGTGTTCAATTATTTAAAAAATAAAACGCAATTTAAAGCTTTTCTTTTTTGTTTTCTTTTTTGTTGTTAAACGTAATGTCATATTTTCAAATGTAAAATGTCACTATTCTCGGCCTTTTTTTCGATATTTGGTTTTTTCGATTTTTGGTATTTGGATTTTTCGATTTTTAGATTTTTCGATTACTCGATTTCTCGATTTTTCAACTTAAAAACCAAAAAAGAGGCAGTTTTATTTATTTTCATTTCGTAACTGGTGACATAATCAACTTTTCGTAATCAGTTGCATAATATGTTCTACTTTATAAAATATATTACTTTATATGTCAAAATTAGAGAAAATAAAATGTAATTAAATGGATAGATCCCATATTATTATAGAGCAGTGTTTCTCAAACTTTTTTGGGGACGGAACCTTTTTGAAAAGCGAAATATTTGACGGGGCCCTCAACATATTAAACACATAATTTAAAAAATATTTTTCAAATTTTTTTCTTCAATTTGGCTCTCATTTTGACTTTCAAGGTAAACGTGATAAAAAATCGGCTTCATATTATGCTCCGATTTTACATATTCAATTTTATAATTGTAATTTGACAATATTACTACCCATCTACGTAGTCTGTTGGCTGAAAATTGGGGTATACCTTTAGCTGGGTTAAAAATAGTTACCAGAGGTAAGTAATCTGTAACTAGGATAAATAAATGTGTATATGAATATTCATTAAATTTATTTAAGCCAAAAATTATTGCAAGGCCTTCTCTTTCAATTTGGGAATATTTTTGTTCGGACTTTGATAAGGTACGCGATGCAGAAGCTATAGATTTCTCAATATTTTTTTAAAAAACATGACATATGGCCCTTATTCCCACATTTGATGCATCTACGATTAATTTAATCGGCAACTCAGGCTGAAAATGCATAAGAACATAATTTGTTGTTAATTTATTTTTGATTAATTCCAAAGATTCCTTGCAAGAATTATCCTAAATCCATTTCACCCATAAAAATAAAATAAAAGTCCTAAAGCAAAATCATATCCTCCTTCCTCTTAGTGACTTAAAAAAATTACTTCTCAAAAAAAAGGTCCTCAAGCCAGGTCATTCCATTTTGTGGCGATAGTACTGTTTTTTTTTTATTATGATTTTCTTCGCGGAGTCCTCAAAAAGGCTTTGCGGAGCCCCAGGGCTCCACGGAGCACACTTTGAGTAACCCTGTTATAGAGAAATACTAAATAAATAGTTTTGAAAAAACTATTGAAACCAGTTGTGAAGTTTGAAACGAATAAATTGGCAATGAAATTGATATTTTTGTATTTGATTGTATGTTTCTCTTTCCACTTCCTGAAAACAGATTCACCATGAAACAACAAATAGTAAACAGTTCATAAAAATAACCTTTATTTGCTACTTATAACATGTACCAATGACCAAGTCCGATTCTGTTTATTTTCAAATCAACAAATATGGACGTCGACAGAATCTTTAAAAATTAAATCTCACCGAAATAAATATAAGTTTCTTTTATCTCCGTCACATTTCGCACTTTTATTATAAATAAAGCTTTCTACAACACATCTTGGCATTTTAAACGTTAATT